CCTTTAACTCTTTGCAGGGTGCAGGAGGCCGAGCTGAGGCAGCCGCGAGGCACAGCCTCTTCCATTGCCAGCGCCAGTGACTCTGCCTTCCCAGGGCTTCACCCTTGCAGTTTTTCTTTTCTGAAGTAAAAGCTCGAAACCACACTCCGGCCCCCGCAGACCAGTTCGCCTGCGGACGCCCCGTAGCTGAGCAGGGGTGGCGCTCGCCCGCCCGGGCGGCCCCAGCCGTCGTCTGTAACTCGCGTGACCGCGAGGCGTAGAGCGATAAGAGATCCAGCTGGAACTGGCTTTTGTGCGTAAGGTGAGCTTGTTGCTCCGGGGACTGGGACACCCACTGCGGACTGCACCCCAATGCCGAGGGCCAGGAGGCGCGCGGCAGGGCGAGGCGGGCGTCGGGGCGCGCGGCCCCATCTGCGGACCCCGAGTTCGCCCCGACCCAGGCTCCTTCCCGGGACGCGACCTTGGGGGGAGACACAGCTTCCCTCAACCGGTTCAGGGTATGTCTGGAGTGTGTGACCGGAATCCTGAGCGGCGGGACCGCAGAAGCGGGAACCTGGAAGAGCAGGCCCTGCGAAGGAGAGCTGAGCCCTGCAGGAAGGGCGTTAGGCCCGCGGGAGGACGAGGTGTTGGAGGCGGAGGGTTCCCCTTCAGTTCGAACAGCGCCCCAGGCGGGTGGGAGACTCCGCTGCGTTGTGGGCGGGGCCTGATCTGCGTTATGGGCGGGGCCTGGCTGCGTTGTGGGAGTGGCCTGAGCTGCGTTGCGGGCGGGGCCTGGCTGCGTTGTGGGCGTGGCCTGAGCTGCGTTGTGGGCGGGGCCTGAGCTGCGGCGTGGGCGGGCCGAGTCTCTTGCGAGGCGGTCGCGGGGGCGCAGCGTGCTGGGCCTCGAGGACTGCTCTGAGGTGGCGCCGGGCCGAGGAAGCGGCTCCCGCGGGCAGCGTGAAGTAGGGAGGGACCAGTGCGGCGGTCCCATGAACGCCGTGGGGAGCGAGCTGTCCCCGGAGCAGCCCGGCAGAACCCCTGCTTCGCCGCCCCACGGCGGCCCTGCTCCGGCCCGACGCCTT